TGCCAATTATGTGTCCTTTTCAAGCACATGTGTGGTACTTAGAAAAAATTGACCACATCCTAGGCCATAAAGCCAGCCTCAACAAATTTCAAAGGGTTGAAATCTTTCAGAAGATATTTTCTGACCACACTAAAATAAGCAAGGAATCTATAATATTCCATAACCAGAATATCCCCTAATGTTTGGAAATTAAGCAACATGCTTTAAAATAACCCTTAGGTCAAAGAGGAAGTCATAATGAAAGTTAGAAAATATTTGGAATGGAATATAATAAACTCATAAAATACCAAAATTTGTGGGGTACAGCTAAAGCTATGCTTAGAGGGAAATTTATAGCCATAAATGCAGAGAATTAAAAAAAGAAAGGTTGAAAATCAGTGATTAAGTGTTCACCTAAAGAATCTGGAAGAGCCTTAGTTGAATCAAGGCGTTGGTTGCTTTAGTGCACTGTGGGGCAGTCACATGCTGTCTTTGTATACCTTTTATGTATGTTTGAGGTTAGACAGTCCCTGGGGGAGCCCCCAGAGAACAATGTGGAAGTCTCATCCTGACAGACAAGCACTTCCTGGCCTCTGTCTCTTCAGTCTCCACTTGGTCATGAATGGATATGAAAGCTCCGACGTAGGAGAGCTGAGGGGGTAAGAAAAGACCCTCTAGGACATATCGTGATTTCGGATGTGCATACAAATGTTTGGATGTAGAATCATGGGAGTATGGCTTCTGAGCGCCTAACCCATGACAGTGAAGAAACAACTGTATAGGGTCATGAGGTTCAGAGGGAACTGGCCGCACGACCTCTAAGAATGGGAGTGCATGGTGTTCCCTGGGCTGAGAACAGGCAGTAGGGGATGACCGTGGCACGGCTGCTCTGTGCCTGGGAGTCGAGGACGTACACACAGGAGGGAGGAGGCGGAGGGAGTGCTGGCCAATACCTCTGTAATTACATTTGGTTCCTCCTAACATGTGTCAACATTCTTCAGAAAGCACAGATCGGGCCTTCCCTACCACTTCCTCTATAACCCAGGGCCTGCTTTCTCAAATAACCTCGCTGGGTTATCCATTTATGAATTACCTTTGCAAGTATTTAGTCTCAGCCAGTTCTGCTCACCCAACTCCACTTCCTCCCTCCACTCCTAATACGCACACTCACACACACCCACTCCAAGCTCCACTTCCGCGTTATCAGTGACTAACTGTACTATAAAAACAGAGTCAGAACAGATTCCAGTGGAGAACGAGATGAGCAATCCTGCGCATCCCACCGCCACCTCCCACCCCCGTGCCCGCGGGGAAGAGCCCTGCCTGTGCCCTCTCCCCAGCACGGTCTGCACCTTGGCGCCTCCTCACTGGGCAGGGTGCCAGCAGGAGTCTTCTGCTCTGCCTTCAACCTCCCTCCTCCAGTGCCTGCTGATATCAAAGAAAGCCAGAGAGAATGGACTTGTCTTTAAAAGAGGAATTCTGATTATAAGCGGGGTTCCCAAATTTAGCAAATAACCATACAGGATTCTCAGTTAAATTTGAATTTCACAGAAAGAACAAATAATTTTTTTTGTATAATAAATATTTATTTATAAATAAATAATTCATAAGTATACCAGAAAGTTATTTGTTGTTTCTCTGGAATTCACATTTCACCCAGCATCTAGTATTTTTTCTGGAAACCCTCATTATAGGAGAGGTGGCTGTGATCAGGCAGGAGGTTCACTTGGGAACTGCTGGCTAAGTTGTGTCGCCTGGACGGCCGGCTTCCCAGGAGCCGGGGCGAGTTCGGTCCCTCGGGTGCCTCTTGCCCTTCCCAGGGTCCTGCCTGGAGCAGCCGTGGCTCTGTGCCCGCCGTGGCCCCCAAACCTCTTGGCCTTGCGACCGCAGTGCATCCTCCCGCCTGCCCACGTCCAGGCTGGGGCTGAGGGGCAGCCCAGTCCGGGTAACAAACAGACGAGGCATGATGTGCAGACATAGACAGTGACTTTAATAAGTTACAAAATCTAGGAGCCAACTTTCACTACACAGAAAACAAATGCACTGATTGCTGTGATCGGAGGATAAAATGTGAGTTCAGCACCGTGATGATGCCTGTGGCGGCTGCCTGTCACACAGGAGCACACAGTCATAACACTTCATCTGAGAAAGGCTTCGCTATTGAGCACCATTTATATACCCCAAATAAACAAATAAACCAAAACTCTTAAGATACAAATGAAAGGCTTATATGTGAAATTCCATGGGTTTTCCAAAAGGAGAAGAGCAGAGAGCCAGGTCCCAAACTCTAGCACACGTCTCCCCGTGAACACGAAGTGACTCTCAGGCCCCTTGGCTGATTTTCTGGAGCCGCAGACAGAGAGGCCCTCGGAGTCACAAAACCTCAGCTAGAAGACCTCCACAGCCCCCCCGGCTGTTGGAGCCCCTCAGACACGGACACTAGCTCTGGAAGCTCAGGACTATTGCTAAGCTGGCTCTCCCACGGGTCCCCAGCTCCATGGAGATTTGCAGTTTCTCAGAGCCTGGCGAACACGGCAATCCTTGGACAGAGACCTCTGAGACCATCTACTCCTACAGGACTCTGCGGACACATGGCCCAGGGCGCTGAGTATGATATATGGGGCCATGGCCACACTGCCTGCATTTCCCAGAGGGCGTCTCTCCCTCCAGCAGAAGACAGGTCCCCGTGGGAATGTCCCACCTGGGGCCTCTCCCTGAAGGCTTCCAGCCCCCAAGACATGCAGCCCTTCTCTGCTGGGATCTGAGAACAGTGCGTTCCCATCCTATGGCCCCCAGGCTGCGTAAACCAAGTAATACTCTCTGGTTCGGGTTAGTCACCCCTAACTTCCTCTACACTCTAGGCCAGACCCAAGCAAAACTGCCCAGTCCTTCAGCCCGTGGGTCACGCCAGCTGCCGTGGGTTCACCAGAGGAGAGAGAGTGCGGGGTCCGTGTCCTCATCATGGAGAGACAGGACTGCAGAAGAGCTTTGTACCACGTCCTGTTAAAGAGGAAGTGACACTGGGGGAGATGGTCAAAAATGCCTTGTCCAGTGTGGTTCTTAGGAGCCAGCACCGGGACAGGTGTGAGCACGTGTGGGACATGGAGGCAGAGTGGGAAGGCAGGCTGCGTCCGCCGTGGAGGGGGCAGCTCGCTATCAGCCGGTTGGAAGGGTAAGCATCATCCCAGGGATTGTTCTCACTGTCTCCTGCACCCTTACTTGTCCCTTAGATCACACACAGAGACACAGCCACACACGCACAGACTCAGACACACTTAGCACCTCAAAACTCCGTAGAAAGTAGGCATCATGGTATTATCCTGAGCCTCAGTATTGTCATCCATATAGAGGGTAATTAAACAAGAGAGAGATCTCTCAGATCTAGTACTGGCAAGAATACAAAGGTTCCAGAACTTTCCTGGACATGAAAAGCTTAAGAATTAGGTGTCAGGCTAGGCCCAGCTAAGGAGCTATTGTGCCCCTGGGTCTTGTAATTTGGGGAAGTTTAAGCCGCACATTCAGGGAGAAGTACCATTAGCCACCGTCCTCCCACCCACCCCACTCCCTTCCTATTTCACATCTCGCTCACAAAGCACCATTCTGCCGAAAGTAGTTGTTCAAGTTTGGAAAAAGCAAAAGATAAAGCAGGCTCCCCGCTCCCACCCCACACCTCCCCTCGGAGGCCAAGTCTTGCACAGCCCTGCTGGGTTCTGGAAGGAAGTGGGGGTGGGGCTGAGGGGGCACCACAGGGCTAGACAGGGAAAGCCCATCCCCCACAAGTGAAGCTGGTCTTTAGGAGGAGCAAACTCAGCCCACAAGGCCTCATCTCAGAACCCTCGGATGTGGCCACCCTGGTGGCAGCACCCCTACCCCTCCAGGAGGGAGGTTCAGGGCCTGGACCACTCAGTGGACTGTCCAGGACAGCACATCCTTCCAGTGCACCTGGGGAGGGAGAGAGAACTCTGGGGAGCTAGCGCTGAGGCCAGGCTGGCTCAAAGCAGCAAGCAAGGCCAGGGTTAGAGGAGAAGAGAGAGGCCGGGGGAGCCCCGGAGAGCTCCCTGCTGTCTTCTGGCACAGGAAATGTGGCCCACTGTGCAGATCTAGCCTCAAGTCCCAGGTGGAGGATTCTCAGTACTTTCCCAGGAAGAAAGAGACGCTTCATGGCTCCAACTCGGCTGAGAGATTCAAACGCAGCGCGTGAGCACCAAATAGGTCAGGCGGCTTTCCCTAAGTCCTTAATGTGCAAGACTGCATCAAGCCGAGACTGGCAGCTCTAGGCTCGGACAGACCCCAACCACCTTGAAACATTCTGAGTTGACCTTTAAGGATTGAGAATTTTCACACAAAAATCTAGACTTCTTCTGGAAAAGCACACCATCTGGCAGCAGGCGCCAGCTCTCACAGAAGCGGCAGTGGCTGGAGCCAACCATCAGCTCCAGCAGGGCGTGGCTCTCCCGTTGGTCACGGTCCCAGCCGGCCACCACGTTCATCCTCGCCACCCGCCTGGGCCTTGAAGGCACTGGAGTTCACGGCCTCCACTTCATTGTGCTCATCTTAGTGACTAGTCAGTTAGTAAATAAATCACTGTTTCTCCTAAGAGTCCCCATGGGGTTTGTGCCTCAGTTTGGAGACCGGTAGGAAAGGTCCTGTGTCTCCAGAAGGGTTGTCACCACCAAGGAAAGGAAGATTCCCAATCACGGCCCAGAAGCTCAGGGCGAACGTTTTCTCTCTCTGCCTTGCCCTCCTGCCCCGCCCCTCCCCCCCCCCCCCGACTGACAGAGGCTGTGGAACCTCTGTATTCCTCTCCACCCCACACCCAACCCCAGTGCAGGACTTAGAACATTCCAGGGCTGGGAAACACGTGTGCTAACCTAGTGCCACATGCTCACAACCACATATGTATTTTTTTATGTCATTCTCCCTCTTTGTTTCCTTTTGGAATCAGGAATTTTTACTTCATCTCCATGACACAGGATTTGCCATCCCATGGAATATCTCTATAAGCAAGAAAAAAAATGCTATTGACGCTATCTTTCCATTTTATTAGAACTTTCCAAGCACCTCCTTCTTCCTCATCTCATCAATGAGCTCTTGGATTCTTCGGTTTCTGGTCTTTTCATACGGGCTTGGGCGTCGGGGGATTAGATTGGGTGGCAGAACTTCATCCTCCAGGCCGTGGATTTGGTAGGGCACATCGACGGCATTGGTTTCGGGGTGATCCTCGGTGGCATTGGTGCTGGAGGCATTGAGAGGCACCTCCAGGGGCGTGGCTGGGGGAGGCTGCACCTCCATGACTAGCGTGGGTACTGGGAGGGTGGGCATGAGCTCTTCAATGTCATTGTGCTTCCCGGGCGGGGCTTCTGCCCTGTTGTCCACGTTGGTGAGGTTGTCGTGTAGGTTGCAGGACTTGCAGCACAGCTTGTTGTAGCCTGGGATGGAGCAATAGCGAGACAAGACTTCCATCCTACAGAACATTGACTTGTCGCCTTGGCAGCGGCCCTCTGAAAGAGAAAAGTGGGACAAATAACCAAAGGACAAGATGGGGGCTTTGCTCCCCTAAAGGGAACAGCTTGCTGGAGGAGGCATTTGAAAGAGCCCAGAGACAGCATAGAGGCAAGCGAGCTCAGGTGGAAAGTCTGTGTGGTTTCAGTGTCAGAGCAGCCCTGGAGGGGGGCCATGTCAGGGACCCCTGCCCTGGAGTGCCACCACACACGCTGTGAGCCCTGCTCCCTCCTCCAAGCGGCCCCAGCCGAGTCCAGATGCTTCCATATCTCTCAAAGTTTGAGACAGAATGAGGCCTGTCTGGTTTTATTTTTTATTATTATTATTTTTTGAGGAGATTAGCCTTGAGCTAACATCTGTTGCCAGTCTTCCTATTGTTTTTCCCCTGAAGCCCCCCAGTACATAGTTGTATACCTAATTGTAAGTCTTTCTAGTTGTGTTGTGTGGGACGCCGCCTCAGTGTGGCCTGACGAGCGGAGCATAGGTCTGCGTCCAGGATCTGGCCTGGCGAACCCTGGGCCGCCGAAGCAGAACACGTGAACTTAACCACTCAGCCATGGGGCCGGCCCCATGAGGCCTGTCTGTTTTTAGGGAGTGATTCCAAGCTCATCTTAAAGAATGGGATTTCATCAGATCTTCACATTGGACATCCCAGTGGTAACCCCAATGAAATTTTGTGGCAGAGTTGACTCTACAATAATCTATAAGCAGTAACTATAACAAAACTAAACCTAAAAGAACCAATTCCTAAAACTCAACAGAGCAGAGAGATCTCATCAAGATGGCGGTATAAGCAGACTCTGAACTCATCTCCTCCCACAAACACAACCAGGTTACAACTATTTTTGGAAAAATTACCCTGGAGAGAAAACTGAAAACTGGATAAAAAGAACCCCCACAACAAGGGACAGTCCTGACTAAGGCGGAAGAGGCAGAAATTCCTGCTGGAGAGGAAAAACGCCACCTTTGGGAGCAGCAGAGCTTCTCAGCTGGCCATGTGGGAGCCACCCTAAGGTACGAGCCCTCCCTGGAGGAGTGAGGTCTGGAGTGGGGGCAACGATACTCCTACAAGCATCCTTCAGACGCAGCCCAACTGAGACGAGGGTCTTACTATCTGGCTTCACTGGCTTTCAACTGCAGTTATTAACCCAGAAAAGCTATCGGCCAGCCAAAGGCCAAAAAGACCCAGGTCTTAAAGGGCCCACGCACAAACTTACTCACTGCAGCAACCTAAAATCACCAGAGAGAAGGCTGACTGTCCTTTGGTGAAACGAGACTCATCTAGTGGGCTCTGGGGGCATCTTGGTGAGAGAAGGGACCTCTCCGGAGACTGAGACACCTGTGGGGGCCATTGAGGTGCATCCCTTGGGCTGTTAGCCCAGGGGCCTGCCACACCCACTAGAGCACAGATTTAATCCAGTTCAGCCAGGACAGGCAACCCGCCCTAGGGACTGGCCCCACCTAACAGCAAGCCCTCAGGCTACTTTTCAGCCTGCATTGACTGGGTGCCTTGATCCTCTACAGGCAGGCAAGGGTATCTGCCTCTGTGGGGAAGGACCTGTGTAATGACCAGGTGAACTGTGAGGGGCATTGGTGAAGAGGCCTCTGCAGTGCAGCATTGGGGTACACTCCAGGGGGTTGAGAAGTCTGCACGACCAGGACTGTGTTGATGGTGTGTGCAGTCCTGTGGGGAGTGAGGCTCATCAGCGGCAGAAGACCTGTGCTTCACAAATAGCCATAAAAAGGATCAGCCCCACCTTCTAAAGCCTGAAACAATTGAGTTCTCCCTGCTTAGGGCCAGCCCCACTCAGCTGCACTCCTAAGAGAACTGACAACAGCCTTGTAGGCCTGAGGCCTATCACAACTGTAAGCCCCTGAGCCTAGCAACCAGCTACACTAGGTACCAACCCAATTAAGAGGAAAACTGCAATAGAAGTGTGCTGATAGACTTAGTAGCCAATGGTGCTGAGGTTCCCCAAACAGGATTTAGAAACAGCTGGCCAGGGAAGGAAAGACTAGACTCCCTGGGTACCTGCAGTGGGAGCAACCCTGCCACAGCAGAAGGACACAAGTAGCCCACAAAGGGGTCACTCCTGGGTCTTCTGGACTGGTGACGAGAGGGAAGCACATTGCTGGGCCTCATAAGGCATCTCATACATAGGGCCACTTCTCCAAGATCAGGAGACATAGCCTACTCACCTAATACATAGAAATAAGCACAGAGAAGAGGCATAATGAGGAGACAAAGGAATACTTTCCAAGCAAGGGAACAGGACAAAACCCCAGAAAAAGGACTAAATGAAACAGAAACAAGTGACCTACTCGACAAAGAGTTCAAACAAAATATCCTGAGGATGCTCAGAGATATGGGGAGAAGAATGGATGAACACAGTGAGCACATCAGCAAAGAACCAGAAGATACAAAAAAAACCAATCAGAAATGAAGAATACAATACCAGAAATGAGAAATTAACTAGAGGGACTCAATAGCAGAGTAGAGGATGCAGAAGAACGGATCAGTGAGCTAGATGAAAGATTAGAGGAAATCACCCAAGCAGAACAGAAAAAAGAATTAGATAGAATGAGAACAGTGTAAGGGAACTCTGGGACAATATCAAGCATGCTAACATTCAGATTATAGGGGTCCCACAGAAGGAGAAGAGAGAGACAAAGGGGCAGAAAATGTATATGAAGAAATAATAGATGAAAATTTTCTTAACCTGAGGAAGGAAACAGACATCCAAGTTCAGGAAGCACAGAGAGCTCCAAACAAGATAAGCCCAAAGAGGCCCACACCAAGACATATTATCATTAAAATGTCCAAAATCAAAGATAAAGAGAGAATCCTAAAGGCAGCAAGAGAAAGGCCACAAGTGACATATAAAGGGAAGCCCATCAGGCTGTCAGTGGACTTCTCAGCCGAGACCCTACAGGCGAGAAGAGAATGGCACGACATATTTAAAGTGCTAAAAGGAAAAAACCTACAGCCAAACACTCTATCCATCAAGGTCGTCATTCAGAATGGAAGGAGAGAGAAAGAGCTTCCCAGACAAGCAAAACTTAAAGGAGTTTATCACCAAGAAACCAGTTCTGCAAGAAATGCTGAAGGGACTTATTTAAGTGGGAAAGCAATGACCACAAATAGAGATTTAAAAAAAAGTTATTATCAACAAAACAAAACAACAACAAAAAAAACCCAGGCAATAAAATCACTCGTAAAGGTAAAAATATAGTAAAGCTGGCAGATTAACTACTGTGAAGATAATATGAAGGTTAAAAGACAAATGTACTAAAAATCGCCTATTTTGATGATAAGAGGGTAATGGATAGACACACACTAAACAAGAGACTATATATGATTTGAAAAACATAAAATGTGGGAGGAGGGGAGTGAAAAAGTAGATCTTTTAGAAAGAGGTCAAGCTAAAGACTCTATCTACTCAATATAGACTGTTATATGCATAGTATATTAAATAGGATCCTCATGATAATCACAAATCAGAAACATATAATAAGCAAGCAAAAAAGTAAGACAAAAGAAATCAAACATACTACTAAAGATACCCATCAAACCACAAGGGAAGAGAGCAAGAGAAAAAGACAGGAAGAGAAGAACTACTAAAACACTCAGGGGGAAAAAAGGTAACAAAATGGCAATAAATACATATTTATCAATAGCTACTTTAAACATCAATGGACTAAATGCTCCAATCAAATGCCAAAGGGTGGCCAACTGGATAAAAAAAACAAGACCCATGTATATGCTGCATACAAGAGACACACTTCAGACCTAAAGACACTTCAAATCTGAAAGTGAAAGGATGGAAAAAGATATTCCATGCAAATGGCAAAGAAAAGAAAGCAGGGGTAGCAATACTTTTGTCAGACAAAATAGACTTTAAAACAAAAACTGTAACAAGAGACAAAGAGGGGCAGTACATAATGATAAAGGGAACAATCCAACAAGAAAATATAACACTTGGAAATATCTATGCACCCAACACAGGAGCATCTAAATATATAAAGCAATTATTAACAGATATAAAAGGAGAAATAGACAGTAACACAATAATAGTAGGGAACTTTAACACTCCACTTACACCAATAGATAGATCATCCAAACAGAGGATCAATAAGGAAACACTGGCCTTAAAGGACATGTTAGACCAGATGGACTTAGTAGATATATACAGAACACTCCATCCAAAAACCACAGAATACACATTCTTTTCAAATGCACACGGAACATTCTCCAGGATTGATCACATATTAGGACACAAAACAAGTCTCAATAAATTTAAGAAGATCGAAATAATACCATGCGTCTTTTCTGACCACAAAGGTATGAAACTAGAAATCAACTACAGGAAGAAAACCAGAAAAGCCACAAAAATGTGGAGATTAAACAAAATGCTACCGAACAACAATTGGGTCAATGAAGAAATCAAAGGAGAAATCAAAAAATTCCTGGTGACAAATGAAAATGATAATACGACATGCCAAAATCTGTGGGACACAGCAAAAGTGGTTCTAAGAGGGAAGTTTATAGCAATTCAGGCCTACCTCAACAAATAAGAAAAATCCCAAATAAGCAATCTAAAAGCGTATCTAAAGGTACTGGAAAAAGAACAACAAACAAAGCCCAAAATCAGCAGAAGTAAGGAAATAATAAAAATCAGAGCAGAAATAAATGAAATAGAGACTAAAAACACAATAGAAAAAATTAATGAAACCAACAGCTGGTTCTTTGAAAAGATAAACAAAATTGACAAACCCTTAGCTAGACTCACCAAGAAAAAAAGACAGAAGGCTCAAATAAATAAAATCAGAAATGAAAGAGGAGAGATTACAACAGACACCTCAGAAATACAAAAGATAATAAGAGAATACTATGAAAAGCTATATGCCAACAAATTGGATGACCTAGAAGAAATGGATAAATTCTTAGAAACATACAACCTTCCAAAACTGGACCAAGAAGAAGTAGAAAATTTGAATA